ATTGTGTGTTGGGAAGCATTTTCTAATCTACTGGACTCTGTGGAGTTTTTGCTGAGCTCTGAAGTTCCTTCAGACTTGTGTGTAAGCTTTTAGTACAAGCCTTAGCTGGAGGTACTGATGCGCTGGAGGCTTAGCAGGCCCTGTGAATCGGGGGCACCGTGCTGGCTGTCACACGAGATGACTGCTCTGTTGTTTTTGCAGGTTGATATCTTCGTAATGACTGAGCCATCGTCGGGTAGGTGGGTGTACTTTGACACAGAGATATCCAACAGCAGTGGCCGAATATCCTACAACATACCCAAACAGAAGAGACTGAGAGTTGGTGTGTATCCCATCAAAATGGTGGTCAGGTAATAGCTCCAAGCTGGAACTGCAGCTGTGATGGGTTGTTGTGATCAGGAAGACACCAAGCTGTGTAAGAGTGGAGGAGGTGCAGAGAGATATTTTGGTCAGTTAGTTATCTTTTCTTGTTTTTGTCACGGTATTGTCAGCTTAGATTTGAAGCAGAAATCATCTGTTTACTTGCCAGTTTGGAGGTGCCTAGACTAATGACCTTTTCCCTACTGCAACACAAATCCTCAGTGCATTTCAATTTAGGTGCACTTGATCTTGCAAAGTATGGGGACTGGATGACTGTAATCAGCCGTCTTGTGGCAAGAAAGTATGATCTGGGCTATTTTGCAGTCTGTTCACTGGGGCAAAGACTGCTGAAGGGTAGAGCTTTGTGTTCTTCAGACTGGTAAGAAGCTTTTCGTATTGAAATTAACAGTAGAGGAGGTATTTCCTTGCTGTAAACCACCTGTTTATCTGTGATGTCAGGGTGATCAAAAGAGTTACCTTAATTCTTACTCAAGACCATTATTATCCTGAATTGGGAAAACAAAACAAAACAAAAGCCCCAGTAGCTGGAAATAACAATTCACTTAAGTAAAATCAGTCAGCTTTCCTACCTCTCCAGCATTTCTAAGTAAAGCGTGAAAATGTGTGAAATAAAATTTGTTGGCCTAGGCCCAGTACATCAGTAGCTGTGCTTGTAAAAAATCTTCTGTTTAATAAAAGTCCAGTTTGATTTAATACAGTTTTTAGTTTAATATTGCCCTTAGAATTAAACTGCCTAGCCACTTAGGAAGCAGCTTTTGGAGGATAAATCAGTGCAATGAATTTAGCTGAAACAGAATGTGCTGTTACCTACCAGTTAACCAAGTCCAAAGTCAGTTTACAATCTTACGTAGTGCTGATTGAGGAGCAAGGAACGTTTTACCTCAGTGTAACATAATAGGCAATCAATTCAAGAAAAGATAACTACTTGAAAATTAATTCAGGTGTATTGAGAAGCTAAGCTCTCATTGGCTTTTAGAATGCAGAAGTAAGTTTCAAACAGGAATGAAAGAAATTGTCCTGTCTTAGCTCATTAAGCTGTGCACACTGAGGTTCTAGAGAGAGTGCAAAGAAAGGCAACAAAGCTGGTGAAGGGTCTTGAGGATAAGTCTTATGAGGAGCAGCTGAGGGAACTGGGGTTGTTTAGCCTGGAGGAGAGGACGTTGAGGGGAGAGCTTATTGCTCTCTACGACTGCCTGAAGGGAAGTTGTAGGGAGGCAGGTGTGGCCTCTTCTTACATGCCACAACCAACAGGACAAGAGGAAATGGTGTTAAGTTACAACAGGGGAGGATTAGGTTAGACATTAGGAAAAACTTCTACACGGAAAGGGTTATCAAGGGCTGGAACAGGCTTCCCAGGGAAGTGGTTCAATCACCATCCTTGGATGTATTTAAAAGCCGTCTAGATAGGATGCTCAAGGATATGGTGTAGAAGTGGACTGGTAGAGTTAGATAATGGTTGGACTTGATGATCTTAAAGGTCCTTTCCAACCACAGCGATTCTGTGATTCTGCATCTCCAGGTATAAATTTCTAGATCGTACAATAATCATCGTTCTAAAGGAAAGAGGATCGAGTCTTCAGATTACTTTCTTTAGGGAACGTGAGGTCATGGGGTGCTAAGAGCTTTGGGTATGAATAGGCATTCCCATTCTAATTTGCAAGGATGGAGGGATGGGTAATACCAATTGTTTATCTAATGGAGAAAAGCTGATTTGTGTAAGTACCTGCCAATACAAGTTGCATATAAATTCTACCCCTGTAATTTCTAATAATTTGCCAGTAACTGCAGGCTGGCTTCAAGAAAAAAAAAAAAAAATAAAGTGTAGCTAATTTCTGTGTGCTGTGTGTGTGTGCATATATGCAGCATTCATGTCTCACACGTGTGTATATATATATAGACATATGGCATGTTTGAGTAGTAGTTTTATTACTTCAGGCTGGTTTGGTTTTTTTCTTTTCTTAATTTTTAAAGTATTTATACACATCTGATTTCTTATTAAAGTCAGCTTCCAGATTTTTGGCAGCAGTTTTTGAAGCTGTACATCCAAACAGATCTGAAGTAGAATGAGCAGAAAATGCATTCTGGCATTTTTGTTTTTAAATTTATTTATTGCTTTGACTTTCCAGGGGGGACCAAAGCAGTGCTGCAAGTTACCTGACTGTGCTTCCCCGAGGTATGGAATGTGTTGTGTTCAGCATTGATGGTTCATTTGCAGCAAGTGTTTCAATTATGGGAAGTGACCCCAAAGTCCGAGCTGGGGCAGTTGATGTTGTCAGGTAAGTGAGGTTTGCACACTTTTTAATTTCAGACTTTCCTGTTTGAACACAATAGGAAGGAAGAAGATAGTTGGAGGTTTTTTTTACTAAATAAGCAACAGTTCTTTAAAGGCCAGGATTCTTTGCAGACACATTTCCATATTTACTTGGGCATGAGGTCTCTGTAATTTTCAGAGGAACCTTAGAATGGTACGGGTTTTTTTTGTAGTTTAAGGTCTCTGAAGTTTCTTCTTGGAAATATGGCCTTGAAGTGTGGTGCAGTGAATTAATAAAGATTCCATGTGTTACTGTGATGAGCAAAGAGTGTGTTTTGCGTTTCACTAACTTCAAATAAGGACATACTTCTACTTCAAATATATTAAGTGCCATGAATGCAGGAGCATTTCATGGAGGAAAAATGAGAAGGCCTTTTAATCAATTCTTCCAAGTCTGTTAATGTCACGCTGGATGGGGAAATACAGCTCTCATTTTGGAACTTGCATGGCAATGGAGGGATGTCAGTTTTCAAGGGTGTCCACTCCTTAGAGCCAAAATGGCAGGAAATCTCATTGAAGGTTTCAAAGGTAGCATGACCTTACGCATAGCAAAGTCTATTCTAAATAAATTTTTTAAATAGCTTTCATATTTTATGTAACGTATTCTGTAAGAATCATACTTGCTTGCTTCTGTCTCCTTCAAGATGTAGGCATTATTACTTAATTTCTTAATAGGAGCAGAGACTTAGGCATGCTGCCTTCCAGTAGTTGAAGGATAATGCCTGACTTCTAATTGGATCTGTGATGAGCAAAGAAATGCTGATCTAACCGGTGAGTATTCTTTCTGCACCTATGTAATATACTTGATGTTTCTGACAGGCATTGGCAGGATCTGGGATATCTGATTATCTATATTACTGGCCGTCCAGATATGCAAAAACAGCGTGTGGTGTCATGGTTGTCTCAACACAACTTCCCCCAAGGGATGATCTTCTTCTCAGATGGACTTGTTCACGATCCACTGCGACAAAAGACCATTTTTCTCCGGAATCTCATGCAAGAGGTACTAGAAACCTGTTTATATTGCCTTAAAACCTTTTTCCAGAGAATGTCATTCAGTGAAGTTAGACATCTCCCTTCCTTTTGAGCAGTAAATCTCACTGGTCATCATTTTGCTGTTCCTCATATCTCCCTTTTTAAAGAGCAAGGAGGGCTGATAAAACATCCAGAGGGGCCTCATGGCGTGACAAATAAATAAGTGAACTGCTTGCTCTTTCCTGTGTGCATATCTGTAGTTCTTGCTGCCATGCAGGCAGACAGATACAGCTTTCTGTGGTTTACAGAATGAAGTTGTTAGCAATGAACTCACCTGTTACTTCATTACAAAACAAGTGCCATCCTTGTAGTACATGGTGTTCAATAGAGTGTTCACTTTGGAGGTAATATTTGTTTCAGTGCCACATCAAAATCTGTGCCGCATATGGTTCCATGAAGGATATTTCTGTGTACAATGTCTTGGCTCTGTCGCCATCCCAGATCTACATAGTTGGACGATCAACAAAGAAATACCAGGCGCAGTGTCAAGTAAGTAACTCATGTTACTCAGTCAGGAAGACCTAGGGGGAACAAGTAACTGCATGCATGTGAATGCATGCACAAACACCCACCACCACAAAAAGACAGTCAGCAGAGACAACGTTTCAGAGAAAGAAGGGCAGTTTTGGTTTCAGATCAGGCATTTTCTAGCAGGTTGAATAGTAAAGAGTTGAGTGGTCTTAGGTGGTACCTGCAAGTGCATGCATTGCGTATTGCTGAATGACAAAATGGAACAGGTCACTGAATGAAAAAGTGAGGGGAGTGTTAGTACTCTGTGGGTATCTAACTGGGCTGCCAAAGACAGGAACTTAGCTAACTCCTCACAGAAGTCATAGGTTGAGGCAGCAGTAATTTGGCAATCCCTTTCTTTCCTTCCTGTTTCAGTTCCTCAGTGAAGGTTATGCAGCCCACTTGGCCTCGCTGGAGTTCAGTCTCCATTCACGACCCAAAAAGAACAACTCTCGGATGATATTGAGAAAAGGCAGCTTTGGCCTCCACTCCCAACCCGAGTTTTTGCGCAAGAGAAACCATCTCCGCAGGACTATGTCTGTACAGCAACCTGACCCACCTTCTTCGAACCCCAAGCCAGAGCGTGCCCAGAGCCAGCCTGAATCAGACAAAGATCATGACAGGCATTTGCCCTCCATTGCTTGGGTTCGAGGTGGAGTTAAGTTTGAATCTGCTCCCTAGGAAGCTTGGGAATAGAGATCTTGGGTGCACCCCGTTAAACTTGTAGGCATGCCTCAAAGATAACATTTGGGCAGCTTCAAACGAAGAGTTGTAGCGGGGAGCTGTACTTCCAGAGTCTTCCCTGCTCTGGAATCTGCCACCTTACACCAACTGGGGAACTTCCACTCTGTTCCTCTTGTCTTGCTTATTGTGAAATTTTAAACCAATCTAAAACTATCGCAAGTGCTTATAACGTGAAAGCAACAGGAAATATCTGTGGTTATTTTTTGCAACATCTATAAAAAAAATGTGCAATAAGAGAAAAAGCTGTAACAGGCTGATTTTACTCAGAAGAGTTGTTGTATCAGCTAACAAGCTGCACCCAAACCAGTATAAACAGTAGGTCCCATAGGCTACAGAAAAAGTTTACACTGTAAATAGTTGTGTGTGTTTCCACTTCACTTTCAATAAAACAATATACTTGCAAGGGGAGCAGAGGTGGGAACTTAAAATATGGGTGATTAGGATTTGTACAGCAAGATGCTTTTTGGGTGCCTTAAACCCAAGATTTTATTTCAGCTTACAGTGTTGATGAACAGACCCCAACATGGGCACTTGTGTTTGTGTGAGGTGCTGGACATCAAGTTAATGGGAGAACTCCACTTATGAACCAATCCACAAAAACTTCATGCTAGAAATAAATGTGTCTGCTACAGTTTGAAGCAGTTAGTGTTGCTATATAGAAGATAATGTGCAAGTGTGCAAAGATCACATTGTTTTGTGGAACTTGGTGACTGTGCAAAATGTGTGGACTACTCCAAGTAAAGAGATAGCTCCAACCATCTCAGTCGGAGAGACAGATCCTAAGATGGTGAGTTAAAGGGAGCCCTTTTACTAAGGGATCTGCAAGCTTCAGAGCAATCACTTTTTTCATTATTCTAACTAGAGCCTTTACACGTGAGGAGCGAAAAAGTAGTGGAATTCCTGTGGGTAAATTGTTTATCTTCTCATGCTTCATAGCAGCTGTTGTGTTAAGACAATCTGTAGCATTCAATTTACAGCATTTGAGCTTCAAAGAAAGGACATGCCAAATTACAGATGCCAAATGGACATTTTCCTACTGATTTAAATGTCTCTTGGGTCTCTCAATGAACTAATGAAGTAACAATGAAGTAAAAAAGGTGTGACATTTTCCCTAAGTGGTAATATTTCTAAAGTGTTGTAGTTAAATGTAGTATTGATTTGCAGATTCTTCATGCAGATGATTCCACTGCACTACATTCACCAAGAGAACTTCCATGACTGAACTGAAGCATTGTTTTAAAACCTGCAATGAAGTTACAAGTGCTTATAAAACCTTTTTTTCTTTAAAAGTTAAAAATACTATTGATATTGAGAAAGCTGAAAGTCAATAGGAGAGTTCTTTTTCAGGTTGGCTTCTTTGGTTTTAACTTCAGGGAGTTGATGTGGAGAGGGTGTCATGCCTTTCTCCCTCCTTTTCAGGTTTTCCTAGTTTGTAGACAGGCCAGAAACAGCCTCTCAATAAGTCTGTTGGTTAATGGTTTTGAAAGTTAACATGTAAAGAAAACAAGAAATGCAATGGAAAGCTATTAAGACAGTGCAGAAGAAAACCTAAATCTCTATTGCCTGTTCACCTAAAAGTTTCAGTGCGCTTTTTGAAGGGCACAGTAATGTGGCCTTTGCCTTAAAAGGCAGCAAAGTATTTTATAAATTGAGATCTTTGATTTAATTTTTTAGACATTACTTGGTAAGATTGTTGGTTACCTATTTCAAACTTCCTGAAAGAGCTCTGGCACATCAGTAATTTGTTTTTTATAATAATGTGTCCTTTTAAGGGGAGGGATAACCTTTGATGAAGATTTAGGGAAGATATTAAAAGTTTGACAGCTCATACTAATTGGGAGCAGGTAACTACGTCACAGGGAGTTGGGGTTTTATGTTCTGTTTCCAAATCAGCCAGCTACAAAAAAAAGATACTGCAAACTACACTGAAGCAGCCTTCAGGTTCACAAATGTTCTCCCAGTAGTATCACAGCTAGTTCTTTAACCCATAAACATAGAGGAATTATTCTGTGTCCTGTTTTGGCCCACTGCGTGTATTAATTCTAACCCTGTAGTCCGTTTCCTCTCCTGCCCCCTGCAGCTAGGAGATTGCACGAGGTACACCAGAACTATCTCCCGCCAGTCAGTTCACTGTTAGCATGCTTCTGCTTGTTAGTTTTAAAGAGACATAGGAATCCAAGGCTTGTGAGGGAAGAAGACAATAGGCAAATTTTAAATTTGCTGAGGGGACCTAAATGCAACATTGATCACAAAGTTCTTTTAAAGCACTGGGTGCTGTGTAGCGTGTCTTTTGACAGTAATCACTGTTCCTGATGCAAAGTTCAAAGTGTTTCTTTAACCATCTACCTCTATCATCCAAGGGACTAAAAAATCTATTTCTAAGTTTCTGTAGTAGAAAGGCTGGCTTCTTTCAAAAGAGGGATCTGTGTGTAATTCTGTGACTGTATTAAAGGAACTAGCATCTGAGCACAAGTTTAGAGAAATCTAGGTTGTTAAAGTCTGTCTCTTACTTTTGCAGATATAATTTTGCAGGGTCCTGTGTCATAAAATCTCTTATTTTGTGTATTTCTATTAATAACTGGGTCACCTTTATGGTAGTCACTGTGCTGGCGTCTCTTAACAATATTATGAGCTAATAGTAGTAAAACAAATGCTTGTGTCTGTGTGCATGATTTAGAGTGGTAACATTTCAGAGTTTCAACACGTGGTACTGAAATCAAGCCAAAAATATTTCCCCTAACCTAATTCCTGCAATATATGAGAGCTCACGTGGCCATTGCATAATTCCAACACTACTTATTGCTCAGGGATAGCATAGTTTATCTCCTGATCACATGCCTCCAGCTGAGTACTATAGCAAACAGTGATACAAGCGTTAACTTGTAGTTAAGGCTTCACATTAATTAGGAGCTGATCTTCTGAAACATCAGATGTCAAATGCATTTGTTTTGAAAGTACTAGCCAGTTGCCACTAAAATGGTAAAACAACTTCTGTTGGAGCTGAGAGTATGAACATGATGAGTGTGACTTTAGACATGTCACAACTAGGCTGGAAGCTCAACAGATATTCTGTGGCAATTGCTGGGCACCTCCTGCATGTTGAACCACTAACTTTTTTTTTTTTTCTCCCCCAGGTATGCTTGGGGCAATCCCTGAGGTTTGCCTGACGAATCAGTAGTTTTATAGTGTAATCCATCAGTCCTCTGTTCTCTAAAACATTTTCTTCTCGTCAGAATTTAAGTTACACACTTCATCCATATGAAACTGCATGCAGTACTTCATGGGCATGGAGTCTGCAGTTGGATTTCAGTTGTAGTTGTGCTTTCACAGAAGGATTGTCAGTCCTTCTCAGCAGGCCATTTCCTGATGCGCCTGATCCTGCAGTTGTCTCACTGGCTGACTGCCAGGCCACGGTGCTGCCGCCTCTTGCACAGAAGGGAAGGGGCCAGAGAAGTCAGGCGGGAATGGTGGGTGCCCAAGGAACACAGGCTAGATTCATCAGTAGTTTCAGCACCTTTAGTGCCTCCAGTCTGTTAGAGAAAAGCACATTCCTTTAACCTGCTGAATGGAAGGAACATAAATGAAACTAAAACACAAAATTGTTATTCCAGTGGGTGTTAAGGCACCAGTTCAAGTCAGTTCAAAGTAGGCCGCAGCTGGAAGCATTTACTTCATTACCCGGTTGATATGGATTCAGATTTAAATTACTGAAAAAAAAAAAAGACTGTGATTAATAGCAGTGGTAGGTAGGCTTATCAGAGATAACTGTGCAAACACACCTTCACAACTGGTGTTTTGTTTGTGTGCGCGCGTGTGTATATGTAGCTACTGGAAGACACCTTAAGTGAACTTTTTGTTCTGCTTTCACAGAAAATTTGTAACTGATATACTAAAACAAAGGAAAAAAACAAAAACAAGGCAACAAACCAATGGCTTTTTATTCAATTTTGTTGTCTAGTTAAGTAAGTTTGAAAAAAGATATTGTTGTATAAAGAGTGCAGAATATTACACAGACTTGAATTGTGATATGGATCCAAATCTGCTTACTTTAAATAATTTTTTCTTGAAGTGTGTGCATACCCTAGTGCTCTTGGAACAGATTCTTGCTTGACCAAAGTACTCTTGTTTAATTTTGTGGCATGCTTTATATCTATTCAGCATAAGATTTTGTTAGGTGTAAAACTGATGTGACATTGATAATAATTCTTGTTCATTGGGGTTCACGAGAGCTGCCATTTTGATTTGTTTACATGCAAATAAGAGACTCCGTTCTTACAGATTATTTCACCTGCTCCTCTAGTGCTTAGGAAAGGCTCCTGTAAACAGAGTTAAAACTTCTCAGCAGTTATGTAGAAATGGAACTATCAGTAAACTAGAGCAAAAAAGGACACACAGATCATTGTCTTAATAATGGAGAGAAGCTGTGCAGTACCATTTTTCTATTATAGGTTGAAATGTGGGATCCAAATTCAAGACTTCTGCATTGAATTGTTCATTTCAGGCATGCAGGGGAGAAAGTGGCACTTGCCATCCTCATGTGGAGCTGGTACAAGAAAGAATACCCATAAACTCAAAACTTTGCAACTTACCTCCTCAGATTCTCTTAACACCAATGATTCCCCATGGTCCATGTTCATAGCTTCAGCAGAAATTGTGGCTTTAATAACGTAATTTGACTTCCGTTATGTTTAATCACTCAAGTGTAAATATAGGGTCCTACAGATGATCCTAAATTCAGTCCCCCATAAAAAATGGAGATCACACATTTTTCAGGATGAGAAGAGCTCTTTTTTTCAGAAGCAAGATATGGCCTGGAGCAGCTAGAATCCTGTGCCATGGACTCTGGAGTTGAAGTCAGGTATTGGCATTTCCTTTCACTCATTGTAATTCAAAAGCCCAAGGTAAAAGGATTACAGTTTACCCTCTATTTGTGTTTGTCAATAAGCTAACTTTGAAACTGGGTAGAACTGTGGGATATGGAGGAATGTGAAACAAAACACTTGACAACTTATTTCTCATTTCTAAGGATGTACAGAACTTATGGGGAGAAGGAAGAGGGGCAGGTTTACTGTGACATGCTGGGAGATGATATACCAGAGATTACAACGCTGAAACATAATTTACAGATTGCAAGCTTTGAACAAAGTTATTCTCAGAGGACTGGTGTAGGGCCCACAATGGCAGTCC